TGATGGGCTCCGGCGATCCTTCTGCCTCGGCCTTCCGAGTAGCCGGAATTACAGGCATGCGCTACCACGCCCGGCTGATTTTTTGATTTATTGTAGAGATGAGGTCTCGCTGCCCAGGCGGGTCTCGAACCCGCAGGCTCGGGCAATCCACTCACCTCAGCCTCCCAAAGGCGCGGGATTAAAGTTTTCTGTTTTAATTAAGATAAGTATTTTTTAACTGTAACAACTGTGAAATAAGTATTTTAATCTTCACTTTAATGGTTGGATTGGATGAAATAGATAATTAAAAGATTATGTTATTTGTTAAGATGACAAAACTTGTCAATGGCAAAACTGAGATATGCACTCAAGCTGGTCTGTGTTCTTGCCTAGATACCAAAGAAATACTTTCTGCATGTATATCCCAGGGATAAGTGGAGTGGCTAACAAAAATGAGAAGTCTACAAACCACATAATCTCATAATTATTAATTTAAAATATGAACCCTCTAAGTTTTCCGGAGTGACAGGAAATATGGACAGATTTCAGTTGTTTTCTTTTTTTTTTGAGTTGGAGTCTCACTCTGTCACCCAGACTGGAGTGCAGTAGCCACTCCCGGCCACAGTAACCTTGACCTGCTGGGCTCCGGCGATCCTTCTGCCTTAGCCTTCCGAGTAGCCGGAATTACAGGCATGCGTTACCACACCTGGCTGATGTTTTGATTTATTGTAGAGATGAGGTCTTGCTGCCCAGGTGGGTCTAGAACCCGCGGACTCAGGCAGTCCACTCACCTCAGCCTCCCAAAGGCGCGGGATTATAGGCTGAGCCACCGAGCCCGGCTAGATTTCAGTTTTTTATGTTTTGTTTCCCATCCATTTTTTTGGTAGCAATATGGCTAATGAGATCGTGGTCACAACAGGATGAAGATGTGATTGACAGAAAGACCATCGGACAAAGAATGCTCATTAAAAAAGATATAAGTAAAGGATATTGTATAATTTACTACGTATAGATGGCTATGTAGAATAAAATTAGAGACAAAGTTAGGATGTGGTAGGCAAGCTTCCCTAACTGCCATATCCAGTGGGGTGCCCAGATACTGATACTGCCTGATTGGAGTGAGAATTCTATCCATTCTTTCTGAAATTCTCTTTGACCATTCTTACAGGGCTCTGGCCCTTTCCACTGTACCTGCCCACTAGGTGCATATAATAAATAGGAACACTCAGTACAGTGGTGCTGACTTCTAGACTGAGTGAACCGCGATTTGATTTCTCAGTCATTTCTCAGACACATACCTTTTACCATGCACAAGCTCTAGTCTTGCTTAGATCATCAAAATTTTGGGGCAAAAAGAGATGCATTGAATTTGGATAATTTAGAACCAAGTTGCTTCTGCTTAAATAGCCACGAATGAATACTGTGATTTTCACTGGTTAAGCTTCTTATAGGACATATATTGAGTGTCATAGCCTGAGGGATATGAAGAACTTAAAGGTGGCACTAAATTAGAAAATGAAAGGGGTTAAATTAAATTGGAAATTTGCAGTGAGGGAATTGAGAATTTTTTGGTTGAAGGTGTTAAGGCTGAGGCCATTTGTTTTATATGCTTTAATTTATCAGTTTATCAAAGATTGATACTTTAATAATTCCTGAGGCAGAATAAGAGGTATTTGGAATATAGATATTCAAGGCGGAAATTTCCTAATAAAAAGAGCTATTAAAAACCCTGGGTTGAGAGATCGGGAAGATGGTGGCTGAACCAGTTGGACTATGCAAGTCCC